GGAAGGAAAGAGGACGAAAGCCTCTCCTCCTTTCTTCTTATATCCCAGCTTACGTAAAAATCGTAGGGAATACTGGGTAAATCTGGACCCTTCCTTGGTTACAAACTGGTCACCAAGGAAGGCCTAGCCCAAACCACCACACCTATTAAACTGTCTTTATCTCAGCCATACGTTTTCTCACTTTTACTTCTCCCATTCTCTCCCAAGGCCACTGGTGGGTGAGTGAGCAGTTTGCATGGGGCTTAGTTGCTGCCTGGGGTTAAACCACGACACCTACTTATTTCATGTAGGAAAATCTTACTTTGCCTATTCTGCACCCAGCACAGGATTTATTTTATCAAATATTAATTGTTCTGTAATAATACCTGAGGCAGTTATTCTTAGCCCACAATAAGCGTAAGGGAACTGCCTCTTCCTTTCACGTGGACAGCTTCACAGAAAGACTCTTACTTTGTGTTTGTACCTTGCTAAGTCCTTCTGACACGATTTCATCTAGAAGAATAGCTATCTCTTGCTTTCAACAAACATGCTACCAGAGAAAGATTACATTCCTGGCATCGCTCAGCAGCACAAATTTCATCTGTAGTGTGTGAGCACAATGTCACCTTTCTGCTGACTTTGCCACAGTACGCACAAAGCATTTAAACCCTCTCTCCATCTGCCAAGAAACAGTGAGCCCTGTGCAACTTCCATACAGCTCCCTGGACCAAGTTTGGATAAGGAGCATGAGGATATTCTAGTGCTTCACAGCTTGTATCATGCAACATCGTGCTGCTGATCTATCAGGCACATTAAAACCAGATCTACCTCCCCGTGAATTCACAGCCTTCCTGTGAAAAACAGTCAATGGATCCAGTTCCAACCCCTACAAATTCAAGTGGGGTTGGTTTGGGGTTTTTTTGTTTGTTTAACCCACTATCACATTAATGCTTGACAGGATTTTTTTCACTACCATGTTAATGCACCCTGCCTTATTCAGCACTGACTAAGTGCCTTTACCACTCCCATGTGAAAAAGTTAACTGGAAAATAATCAAGAGAATTCATTTTAGCTCTATATAGTGACAATAACAATCCAACAAAGACCAGATGAAGTGGTCATAACTCTCAGTAGACAAGAAATCTCATCAATAATCAGCATTAATAATATTTAATAATTCTGCAATTCTAGATTCTACATCCCCAGCTTCAAACAGAAAAACATGTAGATTTAAAATAAAAAAACTTTAAAATCAACATTCTCATTCTTTAACTGTTCAAATCAAACTCTTCCCAAAAGCAAGTGCTTGACTGTGATAAAGGACAAGTGCAAGTGTAATACTTAAAAATCAAGGAGCACACTTAGGAGCTTTACCTGACCAAGAGATTTCTACCACATTCCAGAGTTAAAAGAAAGTAGTACCTGGAATTCAATGCAAGATTACTGCAAAGTAAATACACCTTTATTTCTTCTTTTCTTGAACACAACCACCCTTTAGTCTCTTTTCCATCTTTACTTTTTCTACACATTAGCTGACTGAGAGCTGAGGTCTACTACAAATATGTTAACCCTATCTTCTGCTCCAGAACAGAAAGAAGTGTCAATGCTAACAGACAGATTGGTCACTAACAGATTACCGTAGATCTTTTTTCTCTGAAGGGATGTCAAAAAAAATGTGAATCTAACTGTAGGCAAAACTATTGCACAGAATAAATTACAGTCTAAATCTGAATGATCAAAGCATATTTCAATTTGGATAACTAAAATGATGTAAGCACAGACATAAGCCCGAATTCCATGCACAATTAGACAAATTGTGCATTCAGATGTGGGAACTGCATAGGCTAAGAGTTCCCATTTGCAATTACAGTTTGGGTGCAATTCTAGTACTCAGTGGAGAGTTGACTTTTTCAAGTGGACAACATAGAGGAAATTCATTAAATTAGCAAGATAACCTACACAAAGAAAGAAAATACAGTCAACTATTTTTCCAGTAGAAAAATCTTGCTACTGCAGGACAGGCCACTTAGAAAAATCACAAGACTTTGCTTCCTGGGGCTAGAAGAAATGGAAAGCTGAATGGAATTAACCTTGGTGCTATTTTGGGAAAGGTGCAAATAACAATCTTCTTGTCTGTTGACTGCTTTGACAGCACCCCTTCTTTCCCTTGCAGGTTGACACTACTTTGCAGGAACTGCTCACACAGCCCACCTCCTACTGTGAGCAAAGGATTCAAGGATGAAACAGAAACAGCAGTGAAGCCAAATTCTGAGAAAAAGGAGCACAAGTGTTTCCTTGCACAGGTCTCACAGATATCCTGAAGCCTGCTTGATCTCTAAAACTGGTAATAAGCTTGGACTATTTTCTTTATCAGTTCTCTACAAAAGCGTTACACTCTTCATTACTTTGATATAGCACATCTGAAAGCAAAGAGAAAAGCAGAAAATTCCAGTGAAATGCAGAGTTTTGTTTTTACCTGGCATTGGCTCCTTTAAGGTCACAGAAGTGCGAGAGTAAAGCTTTCACTACATCATTGCAGACAACTTTAACTACATCAATGTGACTCAGCCTCTGTCGCAGCTGCTTGGCAATCTCCCAAAAGTCTTCAGATAGCAGCTGGTACAGCTGCCCTTCATCTCTGCTGAGTTGCCCATACCAGGACAGGATGTAATCTCTATAGCTGTAGTCAAACACTGAAAGGAGAAACAAAAGAATTAATAGCAAAAATTGCAAAATTAGAAGGCACACCCAGATAGGAAAAATATAATCCTCCACCTTTCTCCTCAAAAACTGGATGGGTAATAGGCTTCATATCTAATTTTGGGTTTTAAGTTCTTGCCAAAGAAAGTAAGGTTGGTGAGGTTACAGCAATCTGCACCTAACAGGTTACTGGAGGTCACTTTGCAAAGCAAAGCCTGTAAGTGGATTTGCTCAGACAGTCAGGTTACCAGCTACACACAAACCTCAGACTAATACCTGTCTCTCAACCGTGGCTTTATATATGGTTTTATGAACTATCATATAATCTGACTGTGGCTAAGCTGTTGCAGACTGAAACTAGCCTTCAACAGTCTCCAAGGTTGCAGTTAAAAGGGCAGACGGTAAGATTCTTGGATTTCAAAAGACATATAACAACCCCAGAAAAGTACATTATAGGATCAGAAAAGCTAAAAGAGAACAAGTAGATTAGTGAGACTACATGAACTTCAAAACTGATGAAGCATTCCAAATCATATCTATAGGCAACCACCAAGATTACTGTAATTTCAAGTCCCATGGCAACACCATCTTCTACCATTATGACTTTTCTTTCAGACAACATTTGTGTGCCTATTTATCAGTTTTTACTGCTATTTCACACTAGCAGATGTCCCTGGAGGTATGAGAGGGAGCAGGACGTGTTCAGGGAGCACACATGAACTGTGTTTAGCAGTTATGACAAGATAAGGAAAAAGCTGGGGTTGTAAGAGTTAATTTGCATCTGCCAGAGGGATAATAAAAAAGGGGGAATAAAGGTGTATGCCTGATAATCTGAGCAGCTTCTTTACCAGATATCTTGATGTTTTCATGACTTTTTATATCAAAAGTACACCTCATCTGTCAATGTAAGCCTGCAGTACAAAGTAATCATATGACTCCACTATTTCTTACTTTCCACTTTGATAGAAGTTGTTTGTTTGGCAGTTTACTGAACTATTAAAATTTCCCTGGCACTGTGAAAGTGAACTATAAGCATACTAATAGGAGAACAACTTAAACTGAATACTTTTGCCTGCCTTTTCAGGCAAAACCAGCAAACCTCATCCAATATCACCTTATTAAACACATTTCAAAAGAAATGGCTAAAACTGGTAACAGTTTCCAGCCAAATGCTTCATAAATCAGCTTCCTCACACTTATAAAGAAAGCAGCCAAGTCACTTCAATGAGTATGTTGAAATATATAGTTAAAAGCCTTTTGCTAAGTCATTTCAAGGCTTTTTAATTAATAATTCAGAAAAAAATCCCCACAGTTCAATAAACAAATAAATAAAATGTTTGAAGCATTTATTCTTTTTCCTGATCTAGAAGAGAAAAAAATATGCAGAGCCATATTGCAGGATGGGAACTTTCAATATTGAAACATATCCCATTGCATTACTTTTCTAAAATAGAAGAAATCATATTTCATTGAAAACTCTCACCTGCAAATACTACAAAGTGATAAAAACAGTTATAAAAAGTAGTGGTCTCCTGATAAGCAAGGTGAGGAATAATCCATTGATACACCAAAGAGCAACTGGGAACAGCATTTTAAAAACTGAAGTTTTTTTCATTTATCTCAAATCTCCCATTGCAATACCCATTTTAGGTATCTAGTTTTCCACAGTGATCCCCATGTCCTTCTGCAGACATCTTTTTCTTATAGCTTAGTTACTCTCTTCTGTTGCAAGATCCTAAATGCCGTAGAAAGCTGACCACAGCACAAATTCTTCCTTTTCACCTACTCTGTAAGAGACCAGTAATTTCTCAAGCGCATTCAAAACACACTGCATTGTGGGATTTGTTATCATCATCACTGGCAATTAATGACTTTTTCAGATTTTCTTAGACACCCTCTCTACCTTTTGCAAAGTAGCAGATTTCTCCAGCATCTTTTGCCTAAGAAGACAAGCCATGCATGGAGAAGTGGCTCCTACAGATGTCTACTCAACAGAACTCTACAAAGCAAGAGTACAAGATACAAGAGCAAAACTCATATCCTGATCCCTTAGACTATATTATCTTTCAGAACACTATGTATTCCCAATAACTCTTAATTTATAACTCTGTTTCTAAGCAATTCCTCCCCAAAATGAACTCAGTTTCTAGCACAGTACATAATACACATTTTTTGATTCATTTTAGCTGCTCATGACTTCTGTCACATTCAATGGTACATCTCTGTACTCTAGGAAAGTACAACATTCAAACTAATTATCAGAGTACAACTCCTGCAACTTTACTACACCCCCAAGTGAAACACCTGAAGCAAGATCTATTATGGTGGGAAGACTCCTGCTCAAACAAAGCAAGGCGACACCACTTTAAACCATATTTTTCTGCACCTATCTTTTATAACCCTCTTCCTTTACATGCTTTCTATAGTTTCCTTGTCACTTCTGAGCCTTCCTGCATCACAACAGTGCTGTTCTCTACAAAACTCAGGGTTCTTTAGAGCCCAGAATATATGTCCAAATAAGTGGTGAGACAACTTTAGGACTTTGTTTAAATAAATCAATAATATTTTAAAAAGACACCAGCCACAGACACTAACGGCAGTCTGTTTAAGACTAAGACACTGCCTCATCCATATGTATCATCCTGGCCATGGTGCACAGTTGCTGCTTTAGTTTCACGCCCATTGATGCAGCTGGTGCCTTTTTCAGCACTCTAAAGAAATACAGAAAACAAATGTAGGCATTTTATGGAGAGCAGCTTGCTTCCTTCAGAGGAGAAATCTGCTCATGCATCTATTATCATTATTTTTATACAGCACGTTCTCTAAAACATAGAAAACAACTGGTCAGAAGACAAGGAAGGAATGAAAAAGAGAAGCAGAACAAATTCAGGACAATACCTTACTATGACTAACTCATCCACTACAAACATAAAACAAATTTCTTCTGATAACCATTAAATGCAGTGACCACCATGAGTCTGGTGCAAAACTGTAGAAACTTCTACTGGGTCTTCTAAACTAGTTCCTGAGTTGTTATGATGTGATTAAAAGTCATTCCCACGTGAATTTGAAGTTAAGCCTCTTCAATCGATCTTTTAAATACTGTGAACTAAAAGTGTTGGGAGTAGAGAGCCAGAAGCTTGTGTGGAGGTTTAGTGAGCACTCCCATCTAGATCCTTCCTTCATTCCTACTCCCACACAGGTCCTACAGTAACTGCTATCCCTTCTACCATATTCATTCATTCAGAGGTTCAGTGGCACCACAAGATTTACCTGGTCAGACCAGCTTCAAATCTGCAAAACTTCACACTAGACAGTTTTTATGCTGCTAAGATTCATTACCCAACTTTATTAAAAATAACATAAAAATCTGAAGAACAAGGATTAAATACCTACTCTTTTTCCCAAAGCAATATTAAAAAACAGAGCATAAATATTCTCCCTACTCAAATGCAAACACAGACTTCAAAGTTTCAACAAGAAGTAAATATCCTTTCCTGAAAGCACTGGAGAGGCCAGAACAATTAATTTATAGTCACATCCAAAGCTCTCCTGTGACTGTGTGAACAACAGAAGAGAAGGTATAGCTACAAAACTGGATTCTAGAGCAGCAAGCATTGCAATCTGTATAAGTAAAATGCAAGGTTAATATGGGACACTGCCCCAGTCACTAGCAATAGTAATTTAAAGATTTCAGTTCTCTTGTTAAAGTTTGTGTTTGGAAAACCACTAGTATTTCTTGGTTTACTTGTATTTTATGACATTATTCAAACCCTATGAAAATGCCACGTTAACAGTCTAAATGTTATCATTGCGTATAGGTAGATGGGCCCTGTGCAAAAGCAATCATACCCTGACAGTCCATTCCACATTCTTTATTTTTATTACAATTTCCTTGATATTTGTGTCTTTAATAATTTTTACGAATGTGAAAGGTAAAAAAAATGAAATTTTCCAAATAGATAAAAAATAGAGAAAAGTGTTAAAAAGATCTAGGAAATATATAAAATAAAAAAAATCAGACAAGCTCATGTCGAAATAGTTTTCCACATGTACCCTTTGTGAAGAGTTCTTAGCTTTCAGTGTTTGAATCCCAGTGCAGAGAGAACAAATTCAAATTGTCTTGCTGATATTTTGGACCTAAAAAAATAATTTTTTGAAAGCTGTGAGGAAAAAAAGCCCAGATGTTCACATAAAGAGTGGTAGAAGCTACTTCAAATTTTTATCTAAATGCCAATGTGTGGATCTTAACTTGGGAAACGAGATAGTCTGGGAAAAATCTTCTTCTGTAAAGGGAAGTACTGCCTTACATCCCTAAGAGAGTACTTCTAAGGGGCCAACACAGACAGGCAAGATCTGATCCTTAGGAACAATCTAATTAAATTCCCAAAATATTTCCAATGAGGTCACCTCAAGACAGGGTTGAAAGACAATAACCTGCTATGAAAGGAGAGATGGCTCTCTGGCATGAAATATTTTAAGAGCTAAGAAACACAGGGGAATTTTCATAGCAGAACAATTTCACCAGTGGAGTTCTGTTGGGATCTATGCTTTGGCCTGTCCTGTTTTACTTACACATAAATGACCCAGTAAAGCAGCTAAGTGATATGAAGACCAATTTTCTCAGTACGACTAAAACAGTAGAGACAAAGACTGACTGTGAAGAATAACAAAGACCCCAAGACGTGGAGCAATAAAAATGGAGGGTGAAGTTCAGTTCCCAGGAGACCCACTACACTCAAGGCAGACAAATCTACTGACAGCTACAGCCTTAGCCCAAACAGTATGCTGTGCAACAGCAGCACAAGTCTCACTGGGCACAGTCTCTCTTGGGAGATGTTATTACCACACTACCACACGAGATGGGCTGAAAACAGGAAGTGACCAGACAAGCAACAGGTAGCGTTAAATGGCTAAAAGTATTTGTAGACATGGGTTCTCTTTTATTTCTGTAAGATAAATGAAGGGCAAACAAGAATCAAATCAATCTATCAAGAGAAAGCATGAAAAATTTCAGACCACCATATTTCAGTGTTAGTCACTCAAGTATCACCAGCTGAAAAAGGCATTCAGGGCTGACAACTAAAAGGCCTTTTCATTTTGCCATATTCAACAAGGAAAATCTCTTCATAACATTACATTTGTTCTGATTTTGAGCACTTAGATTTCATAAAACACACCACACAGTAGCAAGGCTAATTCACAGCTTTCCCTCATCTAGTATAGTTAGTAACTAACAGTGAACCCCAGGCAAACTTAATTACACAATGGCGAAAAACAGAGGAAGAAGTCAGAATTAACCAAAGGGTTGTCTCTCTTCATACCCAGCAACAGCAAACAGATGATGCTGGCTCTTCCAAAAATGTTATCCATGCATCTCTAATGGGCATACCTAAAGAAAAGTAAAACCTGATTCAAAAGGAAAAAAAAAAGAGCAAAACCTCATTGACTGTGGTAATCTGACAACACCTACTCTAAACCTGAAGTGGCAGTAGGAGTCTGAACTGTTCCCCAAGATTAAAACCTCATGAGAACTGAAAGTCTCCTAGCTAAATGAATGAGGCATTTTGAAGCATTCTGTTGAACAGCATGTTACCTCAAGACAGCAAAAGTTATCCAAAATTCCTAGGATTTATAAATACTTTAATCCTGATCTGTGCAAGACTGAAAACAGAAGAGCAGATGGTATTTTTTATATCACTGGTAATAAAGTTTTACTTAACCATGAACTTGTTTAAAAAACAAACAAACAAAAAAAAACCATTCACATCGAGACAACTACAAATTTCAAAACTGTCACAGGGCAAGAAGTCTTGTCTATTTTCAAACGGACCGATCATTTACTCTAATAAAAAATTAAAGTATTGCTTTTGGGATTCATTCAGTATCTCAAGTTGACTCAGTCACCTTCCAAACCCAAAATGCTTGCTTAAGTCTTTGTATGGCAGAGCAAAAAGGACAGTCTCATCTTTGTCAAACTGCATAACAGAGAAGTTGGCTTCATCACTTAGGCCTGGAAGAAATACAACGAAATCTGACAAGTTTGCTCTCCAAAATTCAGAATGGGACTGGAGGGTAAAAGCTAGTTTGAAAAAAAAAATAGCAGAAAGGCGAGTGAGCTGTCACAACAGAAGGTACTCAACTCTGAAAAGTGAATCATTTACATATTAGTAACTTTCAGCCTTACTGAGTAGGGATGGCCTCACACAACCAACTGAATGATCTGTGGGATAAACACCTTAGATGAAGACAGCTCCCATATTTTAACAGACATGAGTTACTCCTACATGCAAGTAACTGCAGGGAAGTGTAATATGACTGTCTTTCCCTCTATATTCCACAATACCTGTTGTCTGTCTCCAAATAACCCCACAACTTCCAATTCTGTGATTACGTCAAGGCTTCATTTCAAATTCTGAGGCAGGTTATCCAAAATGTAAAGTACACATGTGAAAGAATACTGCAAATAACTTGTCTGTGCTTGTTTCATTACATATTTCTAAACATGTAATGTTTAGACTCTACTATCCTTTTCACATGATCAGGAATCCTCTAGTCTGATTCCAGATGAAAGTGTTTCCTAAAAATAAATTATAATTATGTTATAATAGTTCACCTCCACAAAAACATGACATGGGTAGGTAAAGTGTTCTAATTTTAGCCACCTATCCTGCGAACAGTTATTCATAAAAATAACTTGAAAAACATAACACATCCCAGGTCTTCATAAGACAACTAACCTGTTTAAAGCAATGATAATTTTCAAATATACTGTCAAAGATAAGAAAAAGTGCTGTTAAGAAATGTTAAAGGAAAAAGTATTCAAAATTAGATAAAATATTTACAAAAGGCTGATAGACTGTATCAGCCAAAAATCCAAATGTTCATTATAAATTCACTTTTTTATGGCAAGAATTGCACTAAACGGGAAGACTACGTAAGAGTTTACAGGATTTATCAGTTCAGCAAAACCCAATCAAGAATATTTTAGATGTAACCCCGTTGTTTTGTGCACAAATATTAAGGACTGTATTTTAACATATTTCTGTTAAAAAAACAACAAAAAAACCCCAACCACTAGAATCATGAGATATCAACTGAATTGCAAAAACATCATCATATTACTTACTACAGTGGACCTCTTGGGAAGACTAAGACCTTGCACTTTGTGTATTATATCACAGAGGAAACCAGGGTCATATTCTAAAATCCTGGAATACTGTGCAGTTATGGTTTGCTAAGATGACAAGAGATATTCAGACTCCAATGCACCTTTCACCAAGGTAAGACTCACCTTCTTTCAGTGCTTTATCCATATTGTGAGAAATAACCACTCTCCTTGATTGGATTGAATCATGGGAGCTTCCAGACCAATTACTCTGAAATTCAAACATAACACTCATCACAAGAGAAAGGAATAAACCAAAAATTTCAGAAGGAATAAAACTGGAATTCAAGGCAATAGTACTGTATCATTTGGTCTTTATACAAACATTGTCACTCCACACAGTTAACACAGAGGAGTGTCAATTATCTCTGAGATTATTATTATACATAGTTCATTAAGCCCATATTAACACTCACTGTTGTGTACAACTTGCCAAATTATCTTAATAAGGTTTTTTTTGGTAGAAGGAAGCTGTATTTAGTTGCAATTCAATGTACTGACAATAGGACATGCATGTAACAGAACAACTGCAACTCCTCCATTCAGTATTTTCACAGCAAATATAACATATTCATAGCCTACTGTGACAATAGACTTCATCTAGCCTCATAAACTACTTTTAAACCAAAGAGAAGCCTTCAGATCTCCCACACTAATTTTGGTTCCCATCCTTTTGGGTTTCTTCCTTCAAAGATACTTTCAGCTGCTGCATTTTAAGCTGCTGTCCTACACAAACATCTGTCTGTATCGGAGTACTCACTCTTACGGTGTCCAAACAGGTGGGCAGATGGAGAAACATTTTTCAGAGTGTAGACAAAGAGAGTGATTCATGCTGTATTTACACAGAAAGGAGTGTAATTCAGAACAAATAGAAATGGTCCCTGCTGTTGCCCAGCTTACTTTGCTCCCCTTGTTGGGAGCTCAGATTTTCTTTGGTAAGGAGATAACACTTCAGAAGCATCTCCATCTCTCCAACATTCACCAAACAGAGAATAAGAAAGCAGTATAAACTTGAAGTAAAAGCACGGTTTAATGTTCATAAAGGTAATACACCATTATTTTAGCCAATTTGCAGGCTAATTCTCAGTGTATTTTGGTAAATATGTTTTTCTCCACTGCAGAACAAAGCTCATCTAATGGGATCCAAATAAAGGAGTCTCAGCACTACTTTTAATGGCAAAACAAAGCTTTTCAGACTCACTCACATTTGACACACAGCATTATGATGGATCCTTTCCAGGCCTTGAGTGCCCTCCTTCTGCCCACAGTTGATTTGTTCCAGCTTTTGAGTGAGTGCAGCAATACTCCCTAGACTTCTTCCAGTCACCATTCTGAGACTATAACTGCGGTCTTTCACCTGATTTCTTCCCTCCTTGGCAACACTATCAGCACACTTGCCTCCATTTGCAGTCCCTCCTTACTACCAAAACTATAGTTAAAGAGTGGTAAGAACAGAGTATTTAGTGAACCATGACAGATTTTCAAGTCCTTTTTTACCTGAATACAACTCTGGTAAAAGCTGAAGCCATATCCATCTAAACAGCTGCAGAAAGTATTTTTGCTCTTTGTAAGAACACCTAACAGTATTTGTAAGGCTCCAAGACATAACCTCTAGCTGCTAATGTTGTCACACTTCCTCAACACAAAGTTGTGTTAATGCCAGTCACACAATTACTTCAGGATTTTTCTGCTTTATTTGCAGCAGGAAATCACATGATTCATAACCACTCCAATTTAAAAAAAGAGACAGACTCACAGAGACATTAAACACCCCAAATAAATTAGGGGGGTGGGAAGGGATTCAGAAAGCCCAATTAAGCAAACTCAGTTTTTTCTGTGAAGAAAGAGCTCCCAAACATGAGGCCACAATTCTGACCGAAGTTCTGTGCTCAACACACTCCATCTTCCTTAGCACTCACGCTAGCTTCGGTATCCCACGAACCAAATCCTTCTGCTAAAATGCATCACACCTGCATAGAGGTCGGTCACCTCAAACAGCTAACTTAGGCATCAACAGTTCTCATTTGTAAATATGTTGCAGGGAGTGGTTGTTTTACAGCCTAAAGCATCAGTAAGTGCTCCAATGAAGCACTTGTCAATTTACTCCTTTCAAAACTAGTTTAAATACAAGCTAAAAAAAAAACAAACAAAAGCCCTGCAGAGAGGATCTGGGGATCTATGGTTGCAAGCAGCTTGCTCCACATCCCTACACTATGATCCAATCTACACATTTCCACAAAGCAGGAACTGATCATTTTATGCTTCAAACTTGAACACTCATTTTGAGGACAAGGCAGACTACTACTGCCTCAGCAAAATGCTGCCTCTTAAACTCACATCTCAGCTTGCAAAAACACATTCCATTGAGACAGTCCTCTATGGTTCGTATGTTTGACTTCTAAAAGGCATGGACTATTCATTTAAAAAGAGTTGTTCAAGACATGATCAAAGAGAATGTAAAAGGTAAAAAGTGAATACCACAACTAGCAATGGTGATTTTGCTGCTGCACGAATGGAATTACTGAAGGGCAAAGGAAGATGCACAGTATATCGGACTTTCTGAGAACTTCCCATATGTATTGCATATAGTCATGAACTGCTGAAGAGAAAAGCACAGAACAATAAAAAAACCTTTTGTTTAAAACAAGGTTTCAACTTCATTAAAAAATAAATTTTCAAGAAAAAAGAAGAATGTTCAAATACATTGGAGTGATCATAGAATTGTTTAGGTTGGAAAAGACCTGTAAGATCATCGAGTCCAACCATTAACCTATGATATTGGTTGGGTTAGTTCAGGCTTAAGAAAAAAAAACAGTTCAGGGAGACCTTACCACTGACTCCAATTGCTGAATGAGAGGGTACAGAGATGAGAGAGCCAGAGTCTTCTGGCAGATGCACAGGACATTAGGAAACATTGCAACACAGGAAATTCCCATCACAAGGCAAAACTATTTTAATCATGAGGCTTGTCAAGTATCAGAATGGGTGTGCTGAGGCTGTAGAGTCTCCATCTCTCCATTCTTCTCAACAGGAGAAAATCCTGAGCAACATTACCCAACTGGACTCGCTGTAAGCAGGAGGGTGGACTAGGTGCCCTCCAGACATTCCTCCCAACCTGAACATACCATGATCCCTGATGGCCCTTCAGAGAACCGTAAATTTAATTTCATGACTGATAATGCATCAGATCTTAAGCTGCCTTGTCTAAAAACAGCTTATCAAATTCATTTTTCCTTCCCATTTTACAAACTTGTATTTAGCAAAACCAAGTCTCAAGTCTTGTTAGTTTAGATTTGGTTTCAAAAAGTTCTGTTTCTGTGGCAATAATAATGATGAATTAATTAAATAAGCAGGCATCCCTGAGTTAGATAATATGTATGGCAACAAACACCTTAAAACAACAGTAACAACCTGGTAACACAGATAATCAATATCTGTGATAACATAAGGATTCCAGAAAATTCATAGTCCAAACTCAGCTCTAACAGCTGAGAAAATGAAAAACTCAACAGATTTCACTGGAAGACTTTCTTCCCACCCCTACCTCAAGTCTGATGGAGGGCATATGCAGAGAACAGGTTCAGCTAGAAAACCTAGATGAGAATGTTTTCACATTTCTCTTCACGTCACTCATCTAAAGGAAAATGGTGCTAGATTTCATGAAGTAATTGGTATAACCCTGACTGAGCCAAAAATGTTTGTAAATGGATTTAATACAGTCAAAGCTCTAGCTTAGATGCCCTTTTACACTGATTAAAACCTGGCATGTTCCTCTAAGTTCTGCCTTGCATTATCACAGCCTCCAAAAATTAAAAAAAATATATTTTATTTTTTTTTAAAATTTGAGCTCTACTCTGTAGACTTCATTGTTGAAGATTGGCAAAAACCTGGCTGAAACTTAAACAACATTTAACAAAAGGCTTGCAGGAATAGGGGTGGAGCACATTTGGTATATGCTAAGAATGAGGTTGCTAACAAACATGGAGGCCTATTTCCTGGAGCAGTGCAAGTTTCTTTGACTTTGTTTACAGGCTGAAAAAAGGATGTGTGCATTTCCTGTAGACTTCTGAATAACACTCATTGTTTGATACTTTTGAGAATAATTTAAGATGCAGAAAACAACAGTCTCAATGGGCCAAGAATAAAAGCCAAAAACACCAAGGCTGGCATTAATCATGAAACTTTGTCTTAGGTTCAGTCTCCTACTAATGCAAAAATTAAGTTAATATCATAATGTCAATGTTTAAACACTTTAAGTAATTTAAAATTAGTTCTGAGGAAAACAATAAATGTTAAATAATAAAGAATTAAGAAGATATTTCAACAACTACACTCAATAAATGGCAAAGCACTGAGAACACAGGAGTACCTTCCACTATCAAGAAGTCCATCTGCAACACCTGGTCATCAAATGCAATGTTTAAAACATAGCAGCAGAAAGCCAGACAGCTGCTACAGGCATGCCACATGCAGCCTTACTCTGCCATGGAATTAAGGCAAGAAGCAGAGAAAAACTTACAATTATTTCTACTACATTAACTCAGTTACAATAAAACTAGAACAGAGCTCAGGACAGATCCCACAGTACAAATGGGCATTGTGCATGAGATTCTCAGTCTAACCACTGATGTAAAAGGCAAAGACTGCATCTAATTCAGCATATACGAACCATCCAGTTACCCATAGCTACTTGCTCCACCCACTGTTGCCCCACTAACTTCCCTCTTATCTTTGTAAAACATACATTAACATCAGACTGGACCTTGATGACAGTGTCACAGCTTCAAACAATACTTCACTGAACTCTCCACAAATTAGTCTTTAATTGATGTGGATAGACATGTTCTTAGAGTAGCAAATATTACTTCAACTTATGATGAAAAAATAAATTTTCTATTCACAAGACAATATTTTTAATTAATACTTCCAGTTCTATTTAAGATTACAAGGCAAGTATGTATGTGTCACATTAAGCACTAATCTACATGTATTAAGGGATACCATAACTACCAATTTAAAAATCAACATACTTCAAGCATATTAATCCTATTATCTTAAGAATCATTATCTCAATAATCATGTTATGATATCATCACAACTTACTTCCACTAACATAGTAGCTTCTGGAACATGCAGATTGTGGTTATTAGATGGGAATGTTCTATCTTAACTGTACTGTGTTCAAAACTGGTAAAACTGTAGCAG